TCAATTTCTCGAGGAGGAAGGGGGAAAGGCGGTGACAAGGGTATTTCTGTCATTATACTTCAAATGTTGGATCGAATTTGCAATTTAGCCAAATGGTTTTTTTGGTGAGCCCAAGGTTCGACGCTTGGCGATATCATACGGACTTTGATTGGCAAATGTAAGATTGATATATAATTAAATGCAAAACAAACCACCAAGAGAGAGAATTGAAGATCGTACCATCTTCCCCGGAAACGGTCGCCGGAGAAACGTACGAAAATCGAACAGCGTCACCGGGAAAGAATCCATTTCCGCCGATTCCATCAATTTATCCACCGTATTAATTTCTCAGGCATCGATTCTCTCTCCCTCTCCTGCCTATCCGCGTTTCAGAATCAGCTCATCCTTGTTCGATCCCGACGTATTTCGAAAATATCGGGTCCTAATTTTCCGGCTTGGCACTCATCTAGGGAATGGGACCTTAGGCTCTGAGAGAAAGCGTGAAGGACGTATTGAGAGGTAGAAAGGGGTTTGATTCAGCTATGAGCACGCAGAAGCAGGTGGTGACAGTTCGGGACCTGGTAGAGGAAGCCAAGAAACGGATTGTAATCCTGGTGATATGCGTCGTTGGACTCTCCTACCTAATGTCGCGTAAGCTTTGTGTTCTTGTTTGATCAATACTCTGGAATGTATGGTATCTTCAGTTTCTGGTTTTGCAGCAGATTTTATTCATTAAGAGTTTAGGAATTGATAAGCTTTCTGATTTTTAGTAGGCATTGGTTCACTAGCTAACTGGTGTGTTCCACTCTACTGTGTTTCACTCAGCAATCTCTAATGAATATTCACTTTTGTTTAAACGTTTGCAGTGACAAGTTCATCAGTTTGGGTTAACCTCCCTGCTGCTGCGTGCTTGATCGTCCTCCTTCGTTATTTCTCATTCGATATTGAAACGAAAAGAAAAGCTGCTGCTTACAGTAGCAAAGCTTCGTCTTTGAATGGACCATCTCTAAATAAACCTCCAGAACTCCCTAAAGCAGCTCCACGGTCTGACTGGAGAAGTAAAGTGAACTCCCAGGTCGTTGAGGATGCATTGGATCGCTTCACCCGTCACCTCGTTTCTGAATGGGTACTGGATCTGTGGTACGCCCGCATAACTCCAGATAAGCAAGGTCCTGAAGAACTGGTGTTTGTTATAAATGATATTCTCGGGGAATTTTCACGGCGGTTTAGGAACGTAAATCNTATTGATCTATTGACAAGGTCTGCTCTTCTTACTGTCTTCTTCTCAGCTTGAGTTTCTGTTACGATCGCTTCTCCAAGAAACTAAACTATCGGATTATTTCAGGGATCTAATTGATATTGTTTGTCGTCGTGTGGAGCTTTTCCGTGAGTGTCAAGCAAAGATTGAGGGACAACAAAGGAGAAGCCTCAGTTTTGAAGATCGAGACTCAGAACTAAGACGTGTGATGGCCACTGAAGATAAATTGCACCCTGCATTATTCTCTCCTGAATCCGAGCATAAGGTTTTCTGGAGTCTAAGTTGCAACGAAGAGCTTGTTATGTAGAGTTTTATGTTGCATGCTTATCGCTATCAGGTGGTGATATATTCGTTTCTATTTTGCAGGTTTTGCAGCATATAATGAACAGTCTCATTTTACTAACATTTAGGCCAGAGGATCTGCACTGTGCTTTTTTCCATTATACCGTGAGGGAACTTCTTGCTTGCTGTGTGATGCGACCAGTCCTAAACCTAGCCAATCCAAGGTAAACTATTCCCTCTGTAGACCACATTTGTTCTTCTTATTCTTACCTCAATGGTCCTCATATTTTCTACCAGGTTCATAAATGAGAGGATTGAAGCTGCTGTGATATCAAGAATAAAGATTAATGTTCAATCTAGCACTGCAGAAGAGACTTCTCAATCTGAAGATCTCTCGAAAGTTTCTCCTGATCATTTTTCTAGAGATCTGGACCCATCTGTCACAGGTGTTGAGCTTGTGCTATTGAAGAATGAACAGCAGAAAAGGAAAAATGCTACAGATAAACAACAAGTAACAGATCTCTCCAAAGATCCATTGCTTTCAATAGACACCCGATCTTCTCGATCGTGGAACTCCTTCCCCTTAACTTCCAAAATAGGTGATGATAGTAAAGATACTAAAGGACATCGAGGAGGAGAGGGATGGGGTGACGTATTGGACATGATGTCACAGAGGAAAACTGAGACCCTTGCTCCCGAGCATCTTGAAAGCATGTGGGCAAAAGGAAGAAATTATAAAAAGAAGGAAGGTGGGAAATTTGTTGAGCGGGTGCCCCCAAGATGGTCTAGCAAGGAATCACGCAATGATGGTGACAATGCACGGCCTAACGACTTCAATGAAAACACTGTGAACGCAAAAGGGTCGACCCAGGACATAGTCGAAAATACAGACAGTCACTTATCAAGTCATTCCTCTGCTGAAGAGGACGAGGAGCAAAAAAAGAGTAGTCATTCTTATACATCCGAGGATGAGGAAACAGTAACAGGTCTAAACAGTCCTGGGACTCGAGTCTGGGATGGTCGAACGAACAGAAATCTTGGTGTTTCACGGATACACCATCCACTTGAAAATTCTGGCCGCCGTTTCAAAAAGACCAGTAAAGGGCGTGAACATTATCAGCAAGTACCCAGGCATCAATCTGGCAGGAAGAGGTCCAGACTTGCTGGACACATTGTAGGCGATGACGATAGTGATGATTCTGAAAATGATTCTTTGGGTAGATCATACAGTGGAATGTCTGCAACGTCGTCTGCATCATACTTCTCAGTGGCAGAAAGTGACCTTTCCAATGCTTCTAGAAGTTCTTTGCTGGTTGATTCCTTTGCGAAGTTGAGATGTGAGGTACAGTTAAATATCTGCTGTGCATCCAAACAACCATTAAGCTGCAGACAATGATGTTCCATGTGCCGTATCATATGATGGATAAATTTAGGTTCCTCTTGCAGGTTCTGGGTGCCAATATTGTGAAGAGTAGTTCTAAAATGTTTGCTGTGTATTCAGTTGCTGTCACAGATGAAAGTAATCATAGCTGGTCAATCAAAAGAAGGTGATAGCATATAACTGTTACGGTTCTGATCTTGGTGCTTTGTTTTTTACGTTATTTATTTATGTGAACTTTTAGATTTCGACATTTTGAGGAGCTTCACCGGCGGCTTAAAGTGTTTCCCGAGTACAATCTTCATTTACCGCCGAAGCATTTCCTGTCAACAGGCGTGGACACACCTGTTATCCAAGAGCGATGTGTACTACTTGATGACTATCTCAAGGTCAAACGTCATGTCTCTTGTTTTCTAGTCTCTGTTCATGCTTTATACATGGTGCTTTGTATATGGATTTTTTTTTTCCTTCTGGGAGTGGTATTTTGATGAGTAGGTTTACTGTGAATTAGCTTTTGTGTTTTTCATATTTTGGTTGTTACTTTGGATTTCTGAGAAGCTAATGCTGAAGTTCTATGGCCTATGCATGAAACTTCACCATGGATTTTCTCCTAAGCTACCACTCTGTAATTTTACTCTGAAGTTGAGTCAGGCCTGCTGTACTTTTGTATTTTCATCTGCCCAAGTAGCTATTGCTGATAGTTCTAATGCTTGAAACTTTGTACGCAGTTGCTTTTCACACGCCTTCTATTCTTCTGTGTTAGCTAAAATGTGAATGAAAAGCTTTGCGTTGAACTGATTCCCCAGTTTTCCTTAATCTGCGAATTATCCTTTCTCTTCTTTGCTCAGAAGCTTTTGCAGTCACCAAGAATTTCAGGATCAATTGAAGTTTGGGACTTTCTCAGTGTGGATTCCCAGGTAGATTTTTTTCCCTGACTCAAATAACGCTCGTGATAACAAATTTTGAATGTTTAAAATGTTGCTGCTGTGCAGACTTATGCATTCTCAAGTTCGTTTTCAATCATTGAGACGCTGACGGGTGAGTAATCCTCAACACAATTGGATTTTGATTTTAATTAGTTCCCTATTATTTATCTTCACTAGTAAAACGTTTCAGTTAAACCGGTCAGTAAGACATCTACTGGCGCTACAAATATGGCCAATATGACTGAGGCAACGGCGGGTCCTCTTCCTTGGAGAGAAAATCTGGGTGTAGAGAGTGGGAAATCGAGTCAACATACGAGGAATAACGTTAAGGTGGATGATCTGAAGTCAAAAGTTAAAGCTCCTGGAAATGATCATGCGAAGATTCCTAATTCAGATGTGAGAAAATGCAAGGAAAATGGCGAGCTAAAAGTGGGTACTCAACATGCTGATGATGTGGCCTGCGCTGGCCTGCCCACTGAGGTATATCAACATCCACACCTAGCATCGGTCAAACGCAAATATTTTTTTTTAATGATTCTGTCTTTTGCATTGTGGGAAACCATGAGGCTAATGCTTGTTTTCTACCTTGGTTTGCGTATTATAACCGACTTGTATTACTTACTATATTGGTGTGCTTGTTATAACCCGTCTTTCTTGCAGTGGGTTCCTCCAAAGCTAACATTGCCCCTGCTAGACCTGGTAGATGTTCTCTTTCAGCTCCAAGAGGGTGGGTGGATCAGGTACATTATTTTATTACCAGGGGCCATACTTCTTCTTCTCTCTTTTTCAGTCAAGAAGGTGGAGTAATTTTGATCATCTATTTTTCCACATTACAAGGCGGAAAGCTTTTTGGGTTGCCAAACAGATACTTCAACTTGGGATGGGCGATGCATTGGATGATTGGGTACTTGAGAAAATCCGTCTTCTGAGGCGGGGAACTGTAGTTGCTTCTGGAATTCAACGGGTTGAACAGGTGAGAACCTCTTCCTTCTTCACAGTGATGTAGTGGCGGAAGTCACAGTGAATAATGGAAAAAAGTTTTGCCTAAAAGTGACATATTACAATCCATGGTGAGATTTTGATATTTGGTATGTCCTCTCAGGTACTATGGCCGGATGGGATCTTCATCACAAAGCATCCCAAAAGGCAGCAACAGTCGAGCAGCTCTGACGAGGAGCAGCGACAAGAAGCAGAGAGACGAGCAAAGTTTGTTCATGAGCTGATGATCGGTAATGCACATCCTGTCACCTGATACTTTTTTCGTCAATGATAGCTAAAGCTTTGTTGATTTAACACAAATGTTTGAATCAATGCTGAACACGCAGAAAAAGCCCCTGCAACCATAGTGAGTCTTGTCGGTCATAAAGAGTATGAACAATGTGCGGAAGATCTATACTTCTTCCTTCAGGTAAACATTTCATCTCTACTACTTCTTGTTTTCAGGTTGTGAGATGTTCAGCTCAAGCTCTAAGTATTGGGTATGAGTGTTTAAAATATTGTTGTTTCAGTCATCAGTGTGTCTGAAGCAATTAGCATTTGACCTCTTGGAGTTGTTGCTACTCTCGGCGTTTCCGGAAATGGAGCAGGCTTTCAAACAATTGCACAACGAAAAACACCTCTTTGGTCAATATACACCACCAAACTGACACTTGAATTGTGCTTGTAAACTCCTCTGCATATTACATGGAGTTTTGCTAGATTTCTTTAAACAGTAACGGTACGCATGCATATTTAAATAATGATTCAGTGATATACCAGCGAAAGAATTCGAGAAGCAAAAGATGAAAACATAATACTTTCAATACTTCTTCCTCGACAAAAAGCTACTTCAGAAGCAAGGAAAAACGAAAATAGAACAATGCCTAGGAAGAAGCAGCTGCAGCCTTATTTCTTGGGGTAGCTTGTGTGCCTGATCCATAATTCAATCAAATCAGATTGCGCAAGAAAAGAGTAAAATCAAGTAAAGTAAAGAGTCAATGTAGTTTAACCTTCTCTAAAGCCAGTCTTAAACCTGCGAGGAACATTGCGTAGGTACCTCATCCTACCAGTTCCTGTTGTCTTTCTTCTGATCGCCTTCACGCTCCAGTTATCTGCACACAATTCACAATCATAAACTCAACACTCCAATGATCAGACCGTAAACTAGAGATAAAGAGAGTGCATGTCCTCTTTCGGGCAGCAGGATAAGCACAAGACGAGCAACGACTCTTCTGGATGTGCAAACTCCGGCGACCACACCTCACACAAAGCGTGTGTGACTTGTTCCTCCTCTTACCGAAACTCCCTGTTCCCTTAGTCTGTCATTTCCAAAAGCACCGGTTATACATAAATGTCACAAATAAGAGCTTACACGGAGGAATACGCATTTGATTACCATTGCAGTAGTTGCAGGGTCCGATCAAACAAATCTTTGCGGCTCCGAGAAGACGATCGTGGAGTGTCCTTTTTTTCACTATCCAAAATGGTTAGGCCCATTCACCACCTTAATGGGCCTAGTTAGCTAGAGTCAACTGGCGTGTATGAGGAGAGAGTGTATAGTGGTGGTGGTGCCAAGTAGGGGACCATTTCTAACGCTGCTTATCAATGTGATGACGATTTCTTACCTATAAAAGTGGACAATCATCATAATGATGATACCTTCTTAAAGTCTGACAGTATCATCTCCATTCTTCAACTACTACATGCCACTGTGTGTGGCTTAGGTTACGTTTTTGAGTGAAATAAATATGGTTATTGTCTCCAAAAATGAGCAGCAACAAAGGAGCCAAAATGATGAAACCTACATCAAAATCAATTCAGAGAGTTGGTCGTTTCTTGAGAAAGACCATTGTGAGCATTAAGTCCAATATCTGCTTTGGTGATTACCACAACTTACGTAACAACACTCCTTTCTTGAACCCATTCTCTTGCACTCGCCGACGCTGTCAAGAAGATTCTCAAACCGAAGAAACCTACAGCGTTGTCTCTAGTGAGAACACGGTTGCTGTGGAAACCGGACGTGAGAGTCTCAATAAAAACCATCAGAAGAAGAAACCGAAGAAAGTGGTTGCAGAGTCAATCGAGGAGGCGAAGAGAAGAGGTGACTTGCTGGCGCAAAAGATGAAAGATCTCAACATGGTTGATCTCAGAGACGCGGAGCACGCGTTGGATGTAAGGGAAGCGCTTCGATGCTATTCAAGCATCAGAAGCCCTGTGTACCTTGACATTGTTGACAATTTCTTCACTGACATGTACTACGAGTTCTCTGATCCGCGCACATCCTCCAGTATCAATGGTTCAAGAAGAAAAGCAGGCTCCTTCAGGCTCTAAGACCTTTTCGATCAGCTTCATTTAGAGCATGCACTTGTTAAGAAGAGTTGTTATCATGTCACCCCTCAGTTACTACCTCATCTTATAGTCTTAAACTATCAATGCAACATATATTTTACTCTTCAAGTTATGACAAATAACAGTTTTGATAACTGGGTACTGAGACGGAGAAATAGGACAATCTACTATTTGATTTTAGAGTAGAAACCATTATCGTTTTCTTGAAAAAGAAGCGAAAGCAAACATTATGTTATGGAGAGCAAAAGTTTACTCTTGTACAGGATGAAAAGTTACATCAACACACGATTATATCTGTTTCAGCTTGATAAATTTGCATTTTCAATCATAGATCACGTATGAAACAAACGGATCATTTCTTGCCGCTCTTCTTAAGTCCAGAACCTCCAAAGGATCCCTTCTGCGATGCCTTGGCTCTTAGTTCTTTAAGTGCCTGTTAGACAATTTTCATTCAAAAGAAAATAGGTCAGGCTTTCAGTAAGACAATAACACACAATCAACGTTATTCCTTCTCATGAGAAAGAGGCTAAAGATTCTTTGACATCATTGTGTGGAAAATCTTATGGTTTAAAACAAAAGAATCCACAATAAATATATAAACTAACAAACAGTCAATTAATGACCCATCTTATTGCAGTCAAGAGGAATAATTTCATAACTAGTGATCAGCTAAATTATATGTGACCAAACTAACAAAGTTGCACATACTAAAGCACAGTAATCTTTAGAAAATCAACGTCTTTAAAGTATTAGCTCTCTTGTGTAGATTATTTACAATTATTTACTTGCAAAGAGGAGCCAAAACACGCAAGTCTAATAGATTCATTTTGCGAAACACAAAAACTTTATATGAACAAGAGAGGAAGGAAACAAGCCAGAGAGCATGGAAGTATGAACTCACCTTCTCCTCGTCTTTCTTCTTCTGAATGTTAGCCATATCGTGCTGCAATCAATGTCAAATCAACATTTTCAGAAATCAGAGAGTGTGAAAAGAATGTCTATGATCATTGTTATACACATTATAGGCAAAACAAATCATGTAAAGAAGTCGAGAGTGTGTGTGTGCGCTCTTAAAACACTTGATTTCGACTTGCACATCTAGATACTTATCAAGCCCTAGTGTTTTCAGTTTAAAGAATTCAAGTTTAGTTGCGCACAATCAAACCAGATCCGGAAAACAACACCAAACTAAACAACGTTTGATTCGAGGTCATAATAAAGCTTGCCAAATACATAAAACAATCTAAGATGCATACTTTTTCTTCCACAGAAAAACAAATCACAATCTTAAACAAAATATGAGTAGAGTCACCTCGTCGTATTCCTTCTTATCAGCTTTAGGCTGCTTCAAAGGTTTCGCTTTTCCTCCTGTTTTAACAAAAAAAAAACATTAGCAGATCGCAAACGGAACGAATCACCGATATAAATTGAATATCAAACCCTAAATCACGAAAACCCAGAATAGTCTTACCTTGCTTCGAAGACATGATTGAGCTGCTAGGGTTTGGTAGTTGATCTCAGAATTCGGGGAAAAAAAGGAGCTGAGAGTTGCAGACGATAACTACAGAAGAATCTCAGATTGGACTTTTATATATACCGAGTTCGTAGTAACAACGCAACCCATTAAATGGGCTCAGAGACATTTAGGCCCAATACATTTGGGCCCACTAAAGTCCAGAGCTATTTGCTTTCTTTGTTGACTCTATTTGCTTCAGATATGTGATGAGAGTTTAGGATTGGAAGAATATTATATTTATTCTCATAATGATAAATGTACAAGGTGGTTACATTTATATAGGAATGTTAAACCTAATATCTAATTAATGTGATCACATAAAGATGCACACAAATCAATATAATTATATTTTCATAATAACGATGATATTATAAGATCTTCTAGATCCTTCTATACGCCCCTCAAGCTCAAGGAGGTAATGGAGAAATAGCAGAATGTGCGGCTTGAGATTGATTTGGATTTATCGATGAAGACTTGGCATATTCGTAGGAGATGTTGACTTTACATGGGCTGGAAAAGCACGTTTGGAACAAGAGTCCATTAACCATATGACTTTGTGGGCTCTTTACCATTGATGGGCTGATGAAAATGGCATAGAAGGGTTCGGTCAATGTGCACAATAAGTGGCGGTGAGTACGACAGAATATAACGGAGAGGTGGTCGACTGGAGCGGAGAGTCAATAAGGGAGATATCCGGTGGCAGCGGCTTTGGTGTTGGTATTGGCGGAAACGGAGTAGAGATCTCTCGGCGGTGGTGATGGAGATCTTCTCCGATTGTGATGAAGATCATCTTACCGTGGGGAAGAAGAACCCAAAAACAGATGAATTTTTTTTTTTTTAATTAAAGAAAGAAAATGATAAACGA